GAAAGCGTTGAAGGTGTATACGCGAGTCTGCAATTGCAATGAAGTGTCTATGGGAATGGAGGGGGGTGGGGTGGGGGAGGCGGGAAGGGGATATCGGCAAAGGCCTTAACTGCTGGAATTGAGACATAAAATAAGTCAGAAAAAAAGATAAAATCGATACTCAACCAAGATCGTCTTATTTCCAATAAATTACAGAACCTCGTTGAATTGTTGGCCACCTTTCGGTGGTGGATTTTTCAATTCAATTCCAATCCAATTCCACCGAAATTGAAAGTGAGTAAACGGCGGGCAAATTATCTCCATGGGCCCCACTTTCCTACCACAATGGATCGCAAACCCCTTCAATTAATTATTTCTTCCTTTTCTCATTCCTAAAACCGATCTAGTCAAATTCGCTTTCCGCGAGACCTCCAACCGTATACAAAGTTAGGCCTTATCTGCCACCTTAAAACAAATGGTAAATGGAGCAACTTTGCCACCACAGATGACCAGTAAAGTGAAATATCAACTAATTCAATTCATCTAATTTCTGGCTTATTGAGTTAGTCGACTCCAACATTCAAACGACATGACACTTCGCCAACCCGGAGTACAGTGCACTCTGGCCCGCGAAACCTACGGCATATTGATTGGTTGTTTAATTTAGTTGGGTACAATTGTCACTTTTATTCGTTATTATTACTTCCATGATCGACGAAGCAGAATGATAGAGTGCAGAGATCGACTAGTACTGAAGGTTATAGCCCCTACCCCCCCCCCCTTCATGAGCACTTTAACCCTCAAATCACATACAACAAACCAAAAGGAAGGCACAAAATTTTTACAAAACCGTTAAAATTTAGGCAATGATAAAAAATGAATACAGCCACTCCCGGTAATAAAATGTATATACATGGCCTGAAATATTTCTTTACGACGACCACCGTTGTTAGTATCGATTACCTGGTCCGATTCCCCTTCCACCACCGACGAAACCACGGTTTACTCGTGCCCTTCCATAGTTTCCCCGACCTCTTCCATAATCTCCGCGTCCAAAACCTCCTCTGCGTTGGTGAGCTTGCTGTTGAAGAAATGTGGGACTATGAAAGATAGGCGGTGCTTCATTGAGGAAGTAGTCAACTATGGTCTGCATTATCTGACCCTCAAGTGTACTTGTATCCCAGTTGGTTGGACCCGGATTGCGTACCTTGTCATTTAACAGGCGATCAAGGCACTGTTTTAAGCTCTAGATGCGAGAAAAGTTGGTGATTATATTACTAATAATTGTTTGGCACTTAATTAGACGTCAGATGTCAGAACGTACCTCAACAAGTTGTGGTATGCGAGGACTTGAGCGCAGGGTTATCCAACCATCGACTTTAAGGTAGTCTGTGTCGCCAAGCTGAAAGAGGAGAGTAATGAAAGGCAGTATCTAGACCATGTAGGGAGTTAAAAATAGTAGAAAGTATGTTGCGACACGATTAGCCCTTCCTATTGATAACTGGAATGTCCACAGTACACACATATATATGTCGAATAGTAGCCTTTTGTAGGCTTTTTAGTAGGCTTTTTGGTAGTTATTATTAACCCATTAGTTGACTTCTTGATTCCCAGTACCTCTGAGTATAGCATCAAGGGACAGCTTTTTGCCAAATGGAGGCAGAGAAACGCATCAATGTATGAGAAGTTTGGACAAAACACATGTCTTGACTTACTAATGCAATAAGGCAAAGTGCAGGATTGAGAATAAGACACTATTTTTAGGAGAGCTGATTTATGCTCATCCGGCCATGATAAAACCACACGCAAATCTGAGGGAGTATTCACGTTTCTCAAATGTGGACGAAACAGGGAGGAGAATGAAGAATATGGAACAGAGAGAAAGAGAAAGGGAGAGAAGGAGCCTGTTGGCTTTGCAGGGTTCATGAAACCGACGAAGTAGCAGGTCAAGGGGTGAGGAAAAAAGCACGAGGGGATATGCTTCAGGTGAGCTTTGATCAAAGAGGAATGAAAGCATACTGTTTACACGAGAGTTCAAGCGTGCAAATAAAAATTGTTAAAATCAATACATGGTTCGAAAGTAAGTGTATGAGAAGCGTAAGAAAAGCAATTTCAACAGGCGCATCCAATCCTCTTCTTGATATCTTAATTGAGCATATTTGGTGTCATTGGAATGAGTCTTTAGCCACTCAAAGTCATTGGGTAGCAGAGGATAATATTATGGGCATTCCAATTAGCATTGGGAAGCGCTAACCACTAGAACGCGAAATGAGCTTGGAAATTATTGCTGTGAGAAACTACTGCAAAAATGTTATGCTTAAATAAAAATGAATTTGCTTTCCAGATTAAAATCCGCGCGCAGAGGGTAAAAAAAAAGTTTGTATGTAATTGCGGACATTTGGAACTACTATCAGGCAGATACTCGTGGTGTCCAGCTAGGCGAGAATTATCAGTCACATAGCTACCATCTATTAAATGTCCAAAAAACGTGGCGAAAATATGAATATATGTCAAAATATGGGCAAATATCCATGGCTAATCAACAGGATTTAAATTATAACCAGCATCTGAACATAGGTAACAGTGAAACAGACCGATGAATGCAAAATTGGGAACGAAAAGTCGAGCAATGATTGAGAGTACAATTAGGGCGTTGAAAAATAATACCTTGCATGCTTTATATCAACAGTTTGCTAATGCATTAAACACTAAAATCACTGTGACCAATAGGCTCGGAAAATTTTGGTTTCAATTCTTGAGGTTTCAACTTTGGCGCACAAAAATACAAGACAGAATAAATATGCTATTCAAGAGCCACGCCTTATCTTTCAAATGATGACAACATCCATGGTTATAATATAGATTATTCAATAACTAAATTATTAGCCTTAAGGAGTATACCATTTAGTGACTTAATGGGATGGATTTCCCCAATAAAGATGTTTTCTGACAAAAAATAAAGCCACAGACTTCCACGAGCTTCACAAACTTTCCTTCACAGGTAGGAATAAGGCAAATTCAATTTCAACGAACGTTTCATTGAAATAACGCATTTATATCCGGTGTTAGAGAGTACGGCTGGAGGTTTAAAGTCGGGGAACAAATGCACTTAAAGGCTACGTGGGTATCTTGTAAGTATTAACAAGAGATTATAGCAAATATACCTCTGGGCATATTTAAATAGCGTAAAAATGTGAAATGTAGTTTTCAGCACAAAAGTTATCGTCAATTTCCCCGGCAGTGAGATGTTGACGCAACAGCCATGTACCATGCGTAAACACAGAGGGAGGGGGGGGGGCGAATACCGTAACCCGATAATGCCAAGGTGTTGGTAGATAAGAACAACCTCGGTCGCTGTCAAGGCGTTGTAAACAAAGATTTGAAAAGGCACGTAGGGATGGAATTTTGAAGGAAATTTTAAATTGTGCCATCCAATTTCGAAGAGAAGAAGGAACACCTAACAGCTTTTTCACTCCAATACAAGTCAAGTTAAGGTCTTCGTAAGTGTTAAACGATGGCGCAGAAAAAGTTTATAATTCATTAAAAAAAAACAAATACATGCTAGTATACTTTCTTCCACAACTTGAAATGTCGTTTGAAAAGTCATTACAAAATACAAACGATTAGAAACCTTTGGTGATGGCGCGATAGACTAACCTTCAACCGATGCAAGCGAAAAAGGTCAATAAACCGGCAGTTGACTTCTGACTTCAAACTGCCATGACCCCAATGTATTTCACATTCGGCCATTTTCACAGGACTCACCTCACCCTACCTATTTCTCTACCTTTGTGCTTGTCTGTCTCTTTTGCATCTGTGAATAACTCTTCTGTCCTCCCCCCCCCCTCTACTTTTTGTGCCTTTGATGTTTCCTCCCCTCTGTGAAATTCGAAATCAATCAAAGGGCTAGTGATAACTAACATAATTCCTGTCGTTTGAAACAACTAATAGCTAAGCCCTAGATAAAGAACGAGGGTGGACAATGATAGACCATACATGATGAACGCAGATTTCAGCCCTTGGAACACCTTAGCGAAGGGGGAAAATGGTTGTCGAGCCATTTCAACAACTACACCAGTCCCAATGTATGATTAGCCCCCTGAACCCCCCCCCCCCCAATCTCCCGACGTCTCGACCTAACAGACGCTGTGGGACAACACATTAATCGCAGTGCCAGTACTACAAAAGCCCAGTTAATGGAGAGAAAGCAGTCTACGGGAGCTTTACCATGGAAAGTGTCAATATAGATTGTTCGAGTTCAGGTGGCTGATCGATGCTGTAATGGAATTTAAAAGCGCTTATGCTATCGAGGAGAACTATGATAAGAACTTAATTCACGTGTTTGTTTTTTCATTGGCGAATTTTTAAATCAAATCAAATTTGAAATTATACCAAGTACTTTTCATGGCCTGATGAGACTGTGAAGCTCCAGTTTCCGGATCTCAAATAAATGAATCTCTTAGAATTCACTCCAAGTTGAGCATTAGAGAAATAAATTGAAAACAACTTAAAATAAAACAAAAAACCATCTCCTGGTAAGAAAAAGTCAGCTTAAGATTATTCGAAAAATGGGGAAAAGCGCGTCTCTCTCTTCTACCTCCATAAGTAACAAAAACTTGCAGAAATGTAACCTCCAACGTGAAAACTTTGTGGAAAGAAGGAGGAGAACTGATAATGTTGGGAGTTCTTGTGGGATACTGATGGAATAATATTGACCACTAAGGGGTGTGCGATAGACTTACCTCCACGTGGTGCACCCTGGGCAAAGTATATTCATACGGCGAAAAAGTCTATTAACCGGCAGTTGACTTCTCACTTCAAACAACCCTCACCCCATTGTATGTCATATTCGACTACTTTCACAGTACTCACCTAACCTTTTTCTACCTTCGTTTTTGAAGCACTCTTCTGTTCCCCCCCCCTCTCGACTTTTTTCCCACTTTAATGTTCCTTCCCCTCTGTGAAGACTGAAGTCAACTAGAGGGCTAATGATAACCACCAAGACGCCTGCCATTTGATATAAATAAATATTGACCACTAATGCATAATTACCCAATTTAAACTTCGATTTACGTGAGAATAACACGAGGCCGCAAAATTTGACGATTCCGGTGGGTTTTTAAAAACAACAGATCACATGAATTATAATCCATTCATGTAAATAAATGTTTGGGTCATGGCATGTGGGAAAATTTTTGGCATTCAATTCGTGGACTTGTCTTTCGCACGTTTGCAATGTTGAATATACCATCACCCCACTGTATGCCATATTCTACCACTCCCACAGTAATCATTTTACATTTTCTCTGCCTCTGTGACTGTCTCTTTTACAACAGTAAATCACTCTTTGTTTCCCGCCCATCGACTTTCTGTTACTTTGACGTTCCTCCCCTCTGTGAAACCCGAAGTCAGCTAAAGGGCTAATGATAACTATCAAAACGCGCCTGCCATTTGATATAAATAAATAAATGTTGAATATAAACAAATTCACAAAAAAATTGTGTTCATGTTGTCCCTTTTAAGTTAGTCGGGGGTGCAGTATCAAAACATTATTACAAAACCCAAATCAAAAAAAATTATGAAGAGAGACATTTGATACCATGTTACTATAAGCAGACTTTGATTAACCGATTTCAATTGCTTCTCATAATTATTAACAATAATATTATTATGATTAATAATTGTCAAGGCAATCTGGATAAACCTTTCCAACTCTAAACAAGAACATGAAGGAAATTCTCTTCAAACGACTAAATAATTCAATACTTCAACGACTTGAGGATTTGATACACACAAAAATAATCCACCGACACCCTTGAAATAATAGGATAGGAGAAATTTCCCAACCCCCATCTTGAAACTCCGGTTGAGCGAAAACTGAAAAACCGGGGGCTTGTCTTTCTGTCACATACTTTCAGGTTTTATACCAGACTATCTTGTTGCGTGCGGGAAATAGAGGGACTCACTTTAACATGATCCAGTTTGGAGGAGAAAAAGACAATTGGTCGGACATTGAGCATCGTCGTGTCAAATAGAGTCGACGCCTGAAAAAAAACAACAAAAATATTAGTTCTGGGAATTAGAGTTATTTAGAATGCCTTTGAGCAATGTTCAAAACTTCTTATCGTAACACCAATACATTTCAGGTGATAATTCGTCAAGTAATATGGACACAGTACGGTCAAGTGACAAGTAAACAATTCCAATTTCCATGCCGCAGGTCCAGTCATGCCCATTTTCTAATAAGCCTGCTGTAGTTTGTCCACGTTCAACTACACTCGTGTTTTGCAACATCGATTTATTTAATTATATCAAATGGCAGGCCTTTTGATAATTACCATTAGCCCTTTGGTTGACTTCAGGCTTCGCAGAGGGGAAGGAACATCAAAGTAAAATAAAGTCGAGGGGGGGGGGAAACAGAAGAATGTTTCAAAGAAGCAAAAGAGACAGGCACAAAGGTAGAGGAAAAGGTGAGGTGAGTACTGTGGTAGTAGTTGAATATGACCATATACAATGATGTGATGGTAGTTTGAAGTGAGAAGTCAGCTGACAGTTAATAGACGTTTTTGCCGTGTGAGAGTATACGTTGTTTTGTAACATCGATTTATGCATGACTACCGACTTTCTGCATTACCCAGTCACAAATTTAGTGGGATAGCTACCGCACCGACAACGATACTCTTTTAAAATCCAAACACGGGTACTTTGTTACCGTTTCTGTTTCATTCCATTTACGTGGTAGAGGAGTTCATAAAATGAGGAAAGTGTAATGAATAATTTATAATAGAAATTTGCAAAGATTAATGCCTGACCCACATCAACAATTCTTTATAGTTCTGCGATAATAAAAACGAGAATACTAAAAAATTGCGATTAGTAAAAGTTGAATGCTGTACCATTGATAGGTTCATTAGCGATAGACAACAATGTGTGCTTCAACTATGCAAATACCTTATTGGCGTACAAAGAAAAGCACAAATAGAATTTCGTGCCCATGAAAATGCCAACAGCAAAGGTTTTGCACCCAGCTAAGACAGACCAACGGGTTGAGTAAATAAGGCAGGCCCATTATGGTTTTATTGGGGTCTTTTTGGAGGGGCGTCAAGACACCAAAGAAGAAGCACTTCACAAAAACCTAAAACTAACATTGCTAGTATCATCGCAGAAGTTCGTCTCGAGCATGGGCATTAATGCAAATGAGAGAAATGAGTATGAATTCATTAGCATTGATGGCACAGGTAGGCAACAAACCAAATAGAGACACGCTTAAGAAACGTGACCTTCTCATTAATAACCCTTGTCCAGGGTTCGGAGAACCTTGATTCACCAAATGGACGCGAAATGAAAATGGTTAAAGTGGTTAACGTGGTGGGGATTTAGCTCACAGCATTATGTTGAAGTTTTATTTTCTCGAAGAAGGCAAACCAAATGTTGGTGTCTGGTTTGATTCCATTATTCACCGATTTGGGGTGGAGGGCAATCTTTTCAGCCGCTGCAGAGCTGCGATAGAACACACCTCCCGACCTAAAAAACAGATGAGAGGAAAAAATAAATTTAATAAAATAATGGCGCACATAAAATACAAGCCACATCAAAGCAGGTGCAATCGAATTGTCTCTGGCAATAAGGAAGAAGAGGTTTGTGAAAAGGTAGAGCAACCTTAGGAACAAACATAGGGTTACACTGCAGTGCCCTGTATCATAGTACCAGTTAGTATTTTTTTAATGACTTTTCAAATGCATTTGAGCTCAATAGAAGTAAATTGAAAAAAAGGAAACAGGGGTAAAACAGGTGATTTTCTGGGCTTTGAGACACAGTCTTACTAACTCGCAGTTCATCAAAGTTTAGATCAAATGGCAGGCGTTTTGATAGTTATCATTAGCTCTCTAGTTGACTTCAGGCTTCACAGATGGGAAGAAACATCAAAGTGAAAAAGGTCGAGATGGGGGGGGGGCAGAAGAGTGTTTCAAAGATGCAAAAGAGACAGACCGACACAAAGGTAGAAAAAGGTGAGGTGAATACGGTTGAAGTAGTCGAATTTGACATACAGTGGGGTGATGGTAGTTTGGAGTCAGAAGTCAACTGCCAGTTAATAGACTTTTTGCCGTATGAGAATACGTTACCCAGGGTGCACCACGTGGAGGTAAGTCTATTGCACACCCCCAGTTCATCAAAGTAATGCGTTATTTAGCATTCCCCAGTATTGGCATTGGAAAATAAATCCTCTGTCAGATTTTATCGGAGGTTAATCCTTTAACCCACGTAGGACCGAACAGTCCTCTTTCAAAATAAGCTCCATTGGTACTAGACCAGTAACAGAAGGCGTGGAACTACCATTTGGCACACGTCTAATACATCTATAGCCTTCACTTGATCCCACCAAAACTCATCACGTCGGTGGCATGAGTCTGCTGTGAGATGCACGAGAGTGCAATTGGGTGCATTTTGTTTCAAAAAAAATAATTCACGCATTAGAAACCAGGTGAAATGATCGACAGGCAAAGAATGTGACAGGGTCAGTCATCAGTCGTTGTTTGGCAAATAAGATCGACATATCGGAGGTTAGACCAGGTGCTAGGGCCAAGAATTGAGAGGATTTAAAGGGGCAAAATGAATATAACATTATAAGCTAGGTAAAGTAATCGATTGAGAAAAGAAGCCCTCTTATAACAGAGTCTTAAACGAGGAGGAACAAAATTGGCATCAAAATAAGGTCAATAACAGTGTGTCAGTAGGGGGGGGGGGGGGGGGGGGGGGCGGGGGTGATTTTCAACATGAAGAAAATGTCAAATTAAAACTAAAGGTGCTTAAGTAAATCCCGAAGGTTAACAGAAGTCTATGGAGGCATAATTGATTGAGAAATTTAGGCCATATGATAGTGGAAAGTTTCTTTCCAAGGGATATATAATGAAATCAAGCAAAGCCAACTCACTTCATTAAAACTACAAAGGACATGTACGTAACGTTGATGTCTAAGCCACTTATGAATAGCTTTTGATGCGTCATTTAACATCACCAGTCAGGCATTCTTAAAGTTTGATTAAGCGGTTCCTTAACAATCCAGCATGCTCTTGACACACACACACACACCCCTACTCGACGCAATTCAAATCCATCAGCGTCCATTAATGAATAAGGGAAGAATGTTGCACATACGTCTCGACACAACTCAAGTAACGGGTGGTGGACAATTCTTCCGATTTCAATGGGGAATATTAACCATTCCCATATCCCTCTTACCGGGTTGGCAATTACCAGCAAATGAATAAAAAACCAGTCATGCTCATGTTATCTTGAAGAAAATAAAGCCTAGAAATTGTTAGGAACTCGTGCAATTTGAAGACAAGATTATGCATGTAGTACCATTTTTACCATCGTTTACCACTCCTTCTCAGTGTGACCCTGCAGTTTTTCTATCCCATTTTTTGAAAATAAACCGAAATGTTTTTGAATTAAGATACTCCCCATTTAAGTGGCTCCGACTTCAGTGGTATTTGGAAATCGATATCTTCTTAGAGCACACTTCGGACATCTGAAGAGATGATAATCGAATGGGACGAGGTCAAATGAGCAAGTAGGATGTAGTACAAATGAACAATTTACTGCTCAAATATTTGGGAGGTTATTCTTGATGCAGGGTGGGGTGGGGGGGGGGGGGGGGGAAGGAGGGTGGAGGACTTGTCATATAGAATAATTTTTGTAGCCTTGCGAACATTCAAGCCCTTGTGTGTTCTCTGCCTGTTCTGCGGTGGAAACTTTTTACCCTGAACAGTCAGATGGAATTTATTGTTCATAAATAACGTTGAAAAATTGGTGTGCTAGGAGCAAATCTTAAGACTCTATTTCCTTATTAACCCCCCTCCCCCACTCCTCCCCAGATAGCATATGGACAAGAAACAGAGAATATGACGTGACAACTTGTATTAAGAGAACAGAAGGCTATTAATAAGCAATACAATGGGAGAGATGGCAACGAATATGGTGCAGTCTGGTATAAAGATACGGAAAGCATGATTAAATGGTTAATAATGAAGACACGGTGTTTCCTAATTTTATAAACATGATTTAAACATAGCCGACTAGTCACAAAGGAGAAATGAATTAGTCAAAATTCCTGCCAATGACTCTAGGCAGGAAAGTGTGAGCAGCAAATGACAATCTAAAACAATTTCCCTATCAACCTATCCCTATGCAGAGGTTCCAACTGCTTCAAGAACTTAAATAAATATGGATAAACTCACTTTGATTTCTTGGCCGAAGCCATGACAAAGTTCGGGTAGAAGGCTCCAGCAATAATAGCACGAAATATGCGAACATCATGGGAATATAAATTCGATTGTGGATCGTCCATATCCTCCGACTTGATGTATCGGCGTTCATACAACAATCCCACAAAGTCCTGCATCAGTCGAAGTAGATCCTGTTAGTAGAGGGGAAACAAGATAAGCGAAAATAAAGGTGAATGTTAAAAGGATAGATTTAACTGTGGGGCAATATATATTTGCTATTTGGAACGCATTCCTAACAATAATTTTAGTTTCCTTACCTAAGAGAGAATGAAAACACTTCTGCCAACAAATATTTATTTATATCAAATGGGGGGGGGTGTGTGATAGACTTACCTCCACGTGATGCACCCTGGGCAACGTATATTCATACGGCAAAAAAGTCTATTTATCGGCAGTTGACTTCTAACTTCAAACTACCATGACCCCACTGCATTTCATATTCGAATAATTCCACAGTACTCATCTTACCTTACCTTTTCTCTGCCTTTGTGTCTGTCTGTCTATCTCTTTTACATCTGTGAATCATTGTTCTGTCCCCCTCTCGACTCTTTGTCACTTTGATGTTCATCTTCCTTTCTATGAAGCCCGAAGTCAACTAAAGGGCTAATGATACCTATCATAACGCCTGCCATTTGAAATAAATAAATAAAATATCAAATGGCATGCGTTTTGATGGTTATCATTAGCCCTCTAGTTGACTTCAGTCTTCACAGAGGGGAAGGAACATTAAAGTGGGAAAAAAGTCGAGAGGGGGGGGGGGAACAGAAGAGTGCTTCAAAAACGAAGGTAGAAAAAGGTTAGGTGAGTACTGTGGAAGTAGTCGACTATGACAAACAGTGGGGTGATGGTAGTTTGAAGTCAAAAGTCAACTGTCAGTTAATAGACTTTTTTGCCGTATGAATATACGTTGCCCAGGGTGCACCACGTGGAGGTAAGTCTATCTCACACCCCCTTCTGCCAACATTATGGGCTAGTAAATGTGTGTACCCCCAACCCAATAGAGGCTGCTAATTTTGATTGGAAAGATGGAATTCTGTCACGAAACCCACTTTTTTAGTCTTTTAATCTTTACAAGACAATGAGAAATATTCGCTAAAGTTAATCAATATCTCGATTAATTGACACTATTAATCTGATGTGCCTTGATTGGGGCGTATGTGCCCCCACTCATTAAACTCCTACCTCAGCACACATAAGTGTGTTGGGATTTTTGCAAATGACACTTCCTGGAACCATTTCTGTCGATACTTGAACTGTTTCTGCCCCCCCCCCCCCCCCCCATTATCTTCAACTTTTCCACTACCTGAATATTTTAATAATGAAGTCTTTACGTGGCTTTTTACACAAAGGGTATATCTGATCTAAGTTTCAAATTCAGAAATCAAGCGATAGAAGATAGCTTCTGTCTAGTTCTTAGTGGCAACTTAGTGACTACCAACATCTCCGGTCTGGTCGCTTATGGCCACCTTTTAAACCAAAGTAATTAATATGATTGTCTTACTTCGTCTGACATCTATAAAAGGTGTAATTCTCCATACGCTAAAACAGAAGTCTTAATAGGAGTATTGCAAGGGAAACCATTCTAAAGATCGTCCGTTCTCACCTTCCTTCTGGCACCACCAATCTGGACGGTGATTAGAGTGATGGCTATCCATCTTTTAGTCAATATAGGTGAAAGGGACTAATTGAGAGTAAATATAACTTATTTACAATATGTGTACATATATATATATATAAATATAAAGCACTTCACCTGCATAGTGTTGTAATTGAGGAAATTTTCTCGACAAAAGCTCCATCGGTCATTATGTCCAAGTTGTCTGAATTCCTAAAATAGGAAACAAACGTTTCTCGATAGAAAACTGCAGATACCTGCGTACATAAATTTAAGTGAAGTTTAACGCAAGGAACAAGTGACATTTCTAATAGGGGGTGTGCGATAGACTTACCTCCACGTGGTGCATCCTGGGCAACGTATACACACACGGCAAAAAATTCTATTAAACGGCAGTTGACTTCTCACTTCAAACTACCATCATCTCACGATATGTCATATTCGACTACTTCCATAGTACTCGCCTCACCTTTATTCTATCTTTGTGTCTGTCTCTTTGAAACACTCTTCTGCCCCCCCCCTCTCGACTTTTTTCAATTTGATGTTCCTCCTCCCCTCTGTGAAGCTTGAAGTCAACTAAAGAGCTAATGATAACCATCAAGACGCCAGCCATTTGCTATAATAATAATAATAATAATAACATTTCTAATAGAGTGTGGGTGGGCAGGTAAGCGGTCTAATTTGATACGTGAAACGCACATCATACAGTTTCTGTCATTTTTAATTTGACCTACCTTCTTCCCCCAGTCACTACCAATTCTCGTGCCTATTATTCGGGCTTATGCAGTAAAAATTATAATTTTCATTTTAGCTATAGGGCTAAATAGCAAATAAAATAGACCAATGACCAACCAGGACATACCTGGACAGTTGAGAAAGATTGATTCATCAAAATATTCACACCCGAGACTGTTGAAGGATACTTTTTGTTGGAGGAATGACAAACCGTGGGTAGGAAAAGTGAACCACGAAAGGGAAGATCATTAAGTGGTTGTGCATTAAGTGAATGCAGAGCTTAATCCAAAGTAATAGCAACACATTCAAACATCACATGATAGCCCTTCTCATAGAGAACATATCATGAAATCCCATCCCATCCCATCTCCTCCGCCCCCCCCNCCCCCCCCCCCCCCCCCCCCCCCCCCCCCCTCCCCTCTCCTCTTAATATTAAAAGTTTCAATTATGCCCAGATTTTAAAGTTCCAAAATAATTGTGCATTCAGGAATACGAAGAAACCCAAAACAAATTGACGAAAAGAACCCTAAAAGTAGGAGGGCAAGCAATAGGTGGACTCCTTTTTTAGGCTACGTACAGTTAAAAATAGCACTGATCACGTATTTGGAAAATTATGAAAATAAATTGGAATAGGTATCTACTACTTAAATGCTTCGTTTTAAAAATAAAAGTGGACAATTTTTCGTTGTGGGCAAAACGATATTTAGGTAGACTAGAAGTCGATACTCCAAATCCACCAGCATATCTATACCCCCCCCCCTCATTTAATGAAATAATTAATACTAGTTGAGGAGACAAATATGGGGCGTAATGCAACACCGTGACGAACTTCATTCAAACGGATCAAATGGAATGAATATTGCAGGCATGGTTAAAGAGACGAGCATGCCAATTATACAAGTGAACAAAACCAATCGGATTATTGATACAATATTTATTTGTGCAAATCCAATAGCATTTCCTTAAGACGGAATATGGAGTTAATATAAATTGAGTAGCATCCAAAATGCTGGTGATGTTTTTAACCTTTTGACGCCCTGCAGTACCCTACGGTCCTATTTCAAAATAAGCTCCATTGCTACTAGAGTGCTGCCAGAAGGCGGTATTGCCTTTTGAAACACGTCCATAGACTTCGCCTGACACCACCAAAACTCAACTTTGGAGGCATCCCTCTGCTGAGAGACACGCGTGAGTGCCGTTAGGCACATTTTTCTAAAATAAAATAATTCGGGCGTTGAGGGGCTGATATTTTATAAACCTCTGCATTCTTACACGAGTAATAATAACAAGGGAAAGTTCACAGTACAATGGAAATTCGATGGGTGAACCTTTTCGGGACACACAGTCTTCTGGATCGGCAACATCTTTGAAAGGCGATAATAATTAACAAGCAATTTCGGTGGAAAGTGGGAAGTAAAAGGAAAAAAATAATCGATAAACTCACCCGTAACGCTGTAAAGAATGCCCAATGATCACTCTGAGAATCCTCGGCAAACTCCCTTCGTTTCGCATCTGCGGTAGCTTCCTGTCCCAGGGGGATTTCAAAGGGGTCTTTGAAAGACAAACACGCCGCAACGACAAGCGCCGGTTGGAGACAGCAAAATAACGCACCCAAAATGAGGAGTTTGGCGCACTGCGGGTCAAGTGGGAGGTTTGCCAAGTGATGTCCAAGGGGTGTTAAGACATCATTGTCCTCCTCTACAGTGCTAACAGAGTCTGTTGCAACTGCCGCTTTTCCAGCTTCAATGGCGCTGGTCATGACGCGGTCCCGCTGACGCTTAGACATGCGAGAAAGTTGGTTGACTGGAATTGAAGAGGAGGATGAGAGGCTAGTGTTAAGTTGGGCAGGTGGTGGAAGGGGTTTGAGCGCCTGGATGTCTCGAAGGAAACGGAGGGTTCGAAGAATAGTCTCAAGGTCGGGTGGGTCCAAGCAACCCGAGAGAAAAGTGGTCACGGGTCCCAACTTGAGGGCCTGGATTTAGGAGTGGGTAAAAAGCCGGGTCAACGCACACTAGATTGAATCGTGGTAATCTTCATTATGCCTATTATATCAACCGAAATACTCATCTTATGGAAGCTAATTAAATGACTTCAAGTGGTAAGAACTTGCATCATGAGTGGGTCCTGACTTGCCTTTCAAATGGTAAATACAAAATTCGACCAACCCTTCCACTTGGTCATAGAGACGACAAATAATCACCCACCCACCCCAATTAATAAGCAAATTACCAGGAATCAATAGTTTTCGTAATAGGAGGGGTATTATTTTCCCATAAAAAAGTAAGAGACGTTTAATGGGAAAATGAATGCGAATGATTCTGCCCCAGCTGATTTAGTATGTTAAAGACGCTGCATAAACAAGTTTATTGCAAAATACTTAAAAGCTGTATAAGTGGGCTGAAGTCGTAATTTCAGAATGGAAGTTAAAATACAGATATGCAAGAGGATAAAAATCTTCGAAAACTATCATCTGACAGGTTGGCTGATAATTACTATCAGCGTATACCAAATGCCTCTAATGCGCGAATGGTATTCTCCAACAGGCATAAACACGGGACACATTATTAAGATTACGACCTGAGAAAGTCATCATTTCTCAAGTCCATTAAAACCTAAACAACATCAAACTTAATGTGTCATCCATAAAAATTCCTTTTTACAACTCGAAGCCCTATAAACTATTATTACCTCACTAACAACCGCTATTCTGCTAAATTCGATTGCGTAATTTGTTGCAAAACAGTGATACAAAAATGGGAAAGTATACTGAAGAAAGGCGCGCAATAGACTTACCTCCAAGTGGTGCACCTTGGGCAGCGTACACTCATACGGCAAAAAAGTTTATAAACCGACAGTTAACTTCTGACTTCAAACTACCACGACTCAACTATGTCATATTCGACCACTTCCACAATACTCACATCACCTTTTCCCTCCACCTTTTTATCTGTCTTTTTTACATCTTTGAAACCCTCTACTATCCCCAGTCTCGACTTGTTTGACCCTTTGATGTTCCTACTCCCCTCTGTGAAGCCTGAAGTCAACTAAAGGGCTAATGATAACTATCAAAACTCCTGCCAATTGTTATAAATAAATAATGGAGAAGAAAGAAGGTACAACAGAATTATGCATTCAGCTGACCTTGTGACAAATTACTTCGACCAAAATGGAAATGAAAGAAAAGCTTTGAAAGAACTAGTGATCGTGACAACCTTCTATGATCATATGAAACGCTAGAATAGGCAGATGGAGGAATATATGCATATGCAGTAAAATAATGGTTAAACTTAATATTTATGCATCTAGCGAAGAATTGGAACTAGCTTAGTTTCTGTTCTATCACACTTTGAGAAAATATAACGGCGGAAAAGTACTTGATAACGCACAAACATTACCTTGATTCGCAGGATGACATCTTCAAGACGAGTTCGAGTGATTTCCGGAGGAAGAAAATCCAGCATGACTTCCGTGTAAGAGAAATTGGAGAAGAGATGGAAGCACTTTCCTTCCCGAACTCTGCGGTATAAGATAGAAAGTTGAGATTAACCACGACGACTAAATCAAATTTTATTCCAATATACACACCAGATCATTTGCATTATAATAAAGGCTTGTAATATCGGCAGGAAAATATCAAACAGGTAAAGAAAAATCCTCACTAAATACGATTATCTGACGAAGGTCATTTAGCCCAAACTCTGACCTATGCCAGGTCACATGCAGCGAGGACTTCACTTAAGATTGGAAGATTCAATATATCTGCAAAAGTCAAGACCACTATTGTTCGACTAGATCGGAGATTGAAGTAGTCACTATGAGTCACCAAGAAGAACTAGATAGAAGCTATCTTCTACCGCTCAATTTCTGGATATGAAACTTAGATCAGATATACCCCTCGTGTTTTTTATGTTCTAATGAATAATTAAAGGAAAGTGGATGCCTTTCCACCACTGCGGTGATAGTATGAGGAAATGACATGACAAAATCGGAGATGTAGCTAATGCATTTATGCATTAAGATGTCACAAGAGAGGTACTTTCGAGTAGCCACTAAAATATCTCCTGAAGTTAAAGTGAATCTAACATTAAGTTAGGAGTGAAGAAATGGATTTACAAGGATTCGCCCAGTGAGGTGTGGGAAGAAGAACGTTTAAACACGAGTGGTACAAAGCTAGCGGATTGATAAATAATGATAAAATGATTTCCTACCCCGCAGGTACGAATTAATAGGCATATTCATTCGAGTGATATTCTATAAGCAAATCGAGATTATTCTTTTTCGAAAAGTGAGACAGTTTATGAGCAAGCAGACGACACTTTCAAGAGATGCCAATGCTTCGTCTTTATTGTCCTTCAAATCCGCTTAACCCCCTTTAACGCCCTTAGGGGACTGTATGGTCCTCTTTCAAAATAACCATCTTTAATACGTGTCTATAGCCGCCTTCGTCTGAAACACCACCAAAACTCATCACGCCGGCGGCATCAGCCTGCTATGAGGCCGCACGCATGAGAGTGCGGTTGGGTGCACCTTTTCAGACAATAGTTTGGGCATTAAAGGGTTAAGGCTTAAAATGAAAATTCTATGAGATTCGCAGCTTACCGACCAGCACGACCTCTCCGCTGAGTTGCATTGGCTTTACTCACAAGAACAGGCGCCAGCGTCGAGGTATTGTTGCTAGGATCATAGGTGGTAATCTTGATTTGTCCACTATCCACCACATACACGATATCTTCGATGGTAATGCTGAAGGGGGCAAGACAATGGCAAATAAGATGGATAAAATACCCGTAAAAATAAAACCTTACACCAAACTCTTTCCAAAAAAACGTGGAGGAAGGTATTCAAAGGCAAAAAAATTATACAAAATCCAGAGGGGAGGAAAGAAGCTACCAACAGGGAGTTCTTCAAAAGTGGTCGAAAATCGCAATATCTTGATTAGACGATAAATAAAAAAGGAAATTCAAAATCCAATTCAAAAAGAGATGATGCAAGGTCATTCCAGCTTAAAACGCATGAAGTTGAGAAAAAGTCACCCTTCCGTCTCAAAAGGAAGGTCAAGTGAAATCAGCAAAATCAAAACGGACAGTTCAAAAGCGAGAAACAAACTGGACTTGAAAAGGCCGAAGATTACGCAGTTCCTGGTTTCAACTCAATTAAACTCCTATAAAGCACAAATCAGAAGATCGCTGGAACATGTTGCATACACTATATCACACTGCCGACTATCATAAATAAATACCAGCTGCGTACGTTAGTCACAAAATCAATTAACCATGACAGTAAATGGCCCCAAACGTTACGTTCCAATCGCAACGTCGAAGTTTCCAGTGGAAATGGAATTGGTAGCTGGACGCGTGTATTATTAGGGTGGAAGACAATCGAGGTTTATCCCTTTAATGTGCAAATTAATTTGTTTGGAAAAATGCACCCAACCGCACTCACTCGTGTCTCACAGCAGGGCAATGCCGTCGACGTGATGACTTTTAGTGGTGTATCAGACGAAGGCTATAAAAACCCATTGAACATGCTTCAAACGGCAATGTCGCGCCTTCTGTTACGAGTCCAGTACCACAATGGAGGTTCTTTTGAAAGAGGACCATACGATCCCCTAGGGATGGTGAAGAGTTAAAAATGTTGAATGGACAAGCACATTTTTCATTTGCAAACTCTTGCTTTCACATTATGGTATCGCACCTTACACTTAAAGATAGCTATTGAATAGCCAAATTCTTTGAGTTACAACATTTGAACGCACCAAAGCGATATTTTAAAGCCAAGAGAGAAGTGTGATTATGATAATTACCACAGCGCTGAAACGCATAAATAGCACTATTCTTTGAGTAACAGTAAAAGTTACATAGTATTGATGAAAGAGAGCCGCTTAGGAAACATTCAATGCATGGAACGTAAAATAGCAATGAAATCGGTACCAGATAAAGGCCACACGATCATGCATAATGCTGCTACATAAGTTTACAACTAATTCTCAAGTCTGAATATTACCTCATCACCATTGATACAAATTCATCAACCACAAAAGTAGACCGTAAAAACGTTAAAGATGTTAATAAAAGTAATTTAATTGCCATAAGACGTGGAAGATATTGCAACGATAGAAGAGTCAATTTATGAGACAGACAAAATTAGGCTGAAATATCCCCCCCCCCCTTAATAGAGCTAATGATCTCCTGGTCGCTACAGGGAAATAAAATCCTTTCTAGAGTGAGAAGGCGAGTAGATGGATTGGAAAAAAAGGAGAAAAGAAGATGGGTGTGTGGAAAGGGGAAGAAGTAAGTACTAGAGGGGGAAAATTCAGTCAGAAAATTTGAATAGACAGCAGCGGTGGTAGAATGACAAACAAGAGTAAATGAATAATAGAGGACTATGGGAATAGATGACAGAGAACAAAGAAAAAAATTTACTTCTTCAGCAAATAACTTCCCCCTCCCCCCAATTTCTGAAAGCAACAATTTCTAAGGAAAAATTGACATCTACTAGCTTAGCGTGATCGTCTATGAAATCAGGCGTTACGAGTTCTAGACCAAAGGGGTAAATATCCAGTGATTGGAATGAACAGGGATGGTAGAATTCAAATTTCTCACCCGGGAGGTTTCTGAACGCATCACCTACACAGGAGGAAAAGACAAGCCAATGATGATTATATGGGTGTGCGATAGACTTACCTCCACGTGGTGAATCCTAGGCAACGTATATTCATACGGCAAAAAAGTCTATT